AGGAGAGTTGCAGTCGTGGTGATTGTTGATGTGGCGGTCAGTGACGATGAGGACCTTGGTGACGTCGAGGATTTGATTAGAGCCGTCGAGCAAAGGCTCGGTCTCTTGGGCTAAGATGGCGAAGTCTCTGCAGCCGTTAAGGTCTCGGCCTTGTAGGAGCTTATCGGCGATGCCGAGAAGCCTCACGGCCTCAACTCTGTTCACTTGATGCGCCATTTTTTTTTTGCCTTCTTGAAATGAAACTGTGGAGACTATGAGAAGATGGTGGGTTTGTCGATTGTTGTATAGTAGATTTTAGCATATATGGGTAAAAAATGAGGCATATACAGTTTTGTTTTGTTATCTGATTAATGTGGGAATTAAATTAATATTTTTCTAAAAAAATTGTAACCAATTTGGGCATCTGTTAATACAATTTGTGATGATGCGCATATGGTTTTGTAAATTCTTATTTCTGTGATTCTTTTACATTATAATTTATTTATGTTTTTACAATTTGTTATAGTTTTCTCAGGAGTGTTGTTTTTTCATGAGTTAGTCGTATAGAGAAATTGTCGATTGTCGTGAATAAGATTTAGAGGGTCATTGGAGCTCGTCGGTCCAAGGTGGAAGAGTTGAATGAAGATAGAGAGAATTGAATGAATGAATAGAGAAATGGAGAAAGAATAGATGATATGGAAGAAATACAATAAAGATGAAAAAGAAGAGAAATATGTAAAAGAATTTATTTATTTATTTTTTTTAAAGTAAGAATTAAATAAAAAAGTGTTTGAAAGGGGAATTTGTCCCTTATACAAAAGTGGAACCGGGGTCTATGGCCCCAAAGAATCTAAAAAAATGATTAAATCATCGGAAGAGGAGCATGAACTCCTCTTCAAATAACTGAAAATAGAGCGAATAATGTGAAGTTTTAGCGTCGCCGTGGACGACTCATTCCCTTCGAACATTCTGCTATTCCTCTCCTTCCAAATGCACCACCATACGCAATGTGGGACCATTCTCCAATAATCGCGTACACCACTTCTCACACGACATCCTCTCCAAGCATGAATCAAATCCTTAGAAGAATGTGGTATTACCCAAAGCATGCCAAACAAACCAAGTATAAGATTCTAACAGTCGTACGCCACGGGGCAATGCATGAGGATATGATCAACTGAGTCACCATCTTATTTGCACAGGCAACACCAATTAACAAAATAGTTACCTCTATTCCTCAAATTGTCAATCGTCAGGATCTTACCCCATACAACAGACCATACAAAAAATGCCACTCTAGTTGGAGCCATAGAACGCCAAATGGTCTTCCACGGAAAGTCAAGGCTAGAAAAGTTGGATAGACATAGGAACAAGGATCGGACAAGGCTAGCAAATCATTTAAATATGTAAAAGATTTGAATAAGATTAATTTCTCATTCATAGCTCTAGTATTTATAAATAAAAAGAGTACATGCTCACATTACAAGAAAGGAAATTAAATCAAATCTAAATCAAATCTAAATCAAATCATAGCATATTCTATGCTATGATTCATGGCTATCAAATCTTTGCTAATATGGTAAGTCATTCTATAAATTGGGGCTATTATATCTGCTAATACTCCCCCTCAAGTAGGTGCATGGATATCTAAGACGTCCAACTTGGACAATGCATCTTCAAACACGGTCTTGCTAGCACCCTTCTTCAGAATCTACAAGTTGCAGAGTACAAATCTGATTAGCGATGATTTTCTCTCAAATGAAGTGTCGATCAACAAATCAAAAATGTCTCGTCAGACCATAAATAATCAACAATGTCTCCTTAGACCATAAACAACCAATCATGTCTCCTCAGACCGTAAACAACTAATAATGTCTCCTCAAACCATTTCCCTTCATACACATGTTTAAAAATGTAGATGGAAGAATCAAACAATGTCTTCTCAGACCATTCCCCTTCGTACATATGTTTAAACCATGTAGATGAAAGAATCAACAATGTCTCCTCAAACCATAAAAAAGAACCAACTATGTCTCCTTAAACCATTTATGAATGGGTGGTGCCAAACTCGCAATGCCCTCATTCCAGTCGGACCACCTTGCCTACCCGATACCTCCCGGATTGGCGATGTCACCTCAGACTATTCTCGAATGGGTGGTGCCGAACTCGCAATGCCCTCATTCCAGTCGGACCACCCTGGCTCTGATACCAAGAAGAAATACAATATAGAAGAAAGAGAAGAGAAATATGTAAAAAGTTTGAATGAGATTAATCACTCATTCACAGCTCTAGTATTTATAAATAAAAAGAGCACATGCTCATATTACAAGAAAGAAAATTAAATCAAATCTCAGCATATTCTATGCTATGATTCGTGGTTATCAAATCTCTGCTAATATGGTAAGTCATTCCATGAATCGTGGTTATCATAACTGCTAATAGATATATAAATATATATAAATCGTATGTGTATATAAAAGTAATATGTATAAATATATATATATATATATATATATATATATATGTTGTGATTGTGACCTGAAACAATGCATAAGGTTGACTAAATCCAATATTTAACTAATAACATGTGAGGGGTATAAAGGTCTAACTAATTAAGGGTAATAATGTGGTGGAAACAATGTAGGGTAATTTTGGTATTTTATTTTTTCAAATTAGCCGAATTTTGACTTAACTTATGGTCAACTAACCAGTGTTGTTAAAGGCGTAACTAGGCGCATGCCTAGGCTCCAGGCTCATTCAGGTGCAACACTTATGCCTATTGTGCGCCTAGGTGTGCCTTCGACAACATTTGCGCCTTTAATATGGAATATGAATATGCTTTAATAGTAATTTACTTTTTCAATTGTGAGCCTTGTTTCACTTAGGCACGTTCCTCACCTTGCGCTTAGGCTCTAAAGGACCTTTAGTGCCCTAGTGCGCCTTGAGCCTTTGATAACACTACAACTAACAGAAGTGGGTGTCAAGGCAAAGTTAACCAAACCTAAAGGGTGTTTAAGGCTTTTTTTTTTTCCCCCAATGGTTTAATCTGAGAGCAATAAACACAAACTTGAGTGGTGTCAGAGCATTTAACTCTTTTTCAAATCGGTCGTTAAATGAAAATTACCGGATAACCATTAATGAGCTGTAAAAAATTGAACAGTGAAGGAAAAAAGAGAGAAAGAATTCTATTTTAGAAGAAATACAATATAGAAGAAAGAGAAGAGAAATATGTAAAAAAGGTTTGATTGAGATGAATCACTCATTTACAGCTCTAGTATTATAGAAAAAAAGACACATGCTTATAAATCAAATTATAACATATTCTATGGATAGATATATACGTAAATAAAGTCAAACTCCATGATTCGTGGCTATCAAATCTCTTGTAATATGGTAAGTCATTCCATAAATCATGGCTATCATATCTACTAACACCCCCCCCCCTCTCAAGTTGGTGCGTGGATATCTGAAATACCTAACTTGGACAATGCATTCTCAAACACAATCTTGTTGACGCCCTTTATAAGTTTTGAAGATTTAATGGAGAAATCAGTGGAGGAAAATCTTTCAGTAATTGATGTTATTTCCTATTATTGAAGATTTGGTGTTATAGAGGAATCAATGGAGAAAAATCCTCCTTGTTTCTTATTTTCTAATTCTTCTCATAATTTCTTTTCCTATATAAAGGGTCTCCACCATTGTATTGTATATGAATTGAGAGAGTATTATAATAGTGATGTAGCCTTTTGGGCTCTTTGTGCCATGGATGTAGGCCATAGTGGCTGAACCACGAAATATCTGTGTGTTTTACTTGTTTTATTTATCTCTTCGCTTTTGTTTTATGCTTTACAACAATAAGAATGTCCACACGGTGAGGTCTGTGGAGTGCAAAATCTGACTAGCGCTGATTTTCTTTAAAATGAAGTGCCAATCAACAATCAAAGTGTCTCCTCAGACCATAAACATTCAACAATGTCTCCTCAAATCATAAACAACCAACCACGTCTCCTCAGACCATAAACAACAAACAATGTCTCCTCAGACCATTTCCCTTCATACACATATTTAAAATATGTAGATAGAAGAATCAACAATGTCTCCTCAGACCATTCCCCTTCATACATATGTTTAAACAATGTAGATGAAAGACTTAACAATGTCTCGACCATAAAAAAGCAACCATGCCTCCTTAGACCATTCGGAAATGAGTGGTGCAGAACTTGCAATGCCCTCATTGAGGTCAGACCACCCTACTTACTCGACACCTCCTGGATGGGCGATGTCTTCTTAGACCATTCTTGAATGAGTGATGCCGAACTTGCAATGCCCTCATTGCAGTCAGACCACCCTAGCTCTGATACCAAGAAGAAATACAATATAAAAGAAAGAGAAGAGAAATATGTAAAAAAAGTTTGAATGAGATGAATCACTCATTTACAGCTTTAGTATTTATAGATAAAAAGAGCACATGCTCATATTACAAGAATGAAATTAAATCAATTCACAACATATTCTATGGCTAGACATATGCATACATAAAGTCAAACTCCATGATTCGTGGCTATCAAATCTCTTGTAATATGGTAAGTCATTCCATAAATAATGGGCTATCATATCTGGTAACAATTTTATGTGTCATAAAGATTATTTAACCATAAAATTATGAGGTTGAATTCTTCCTAATTTTGAGGAGTTTGGAACCTGCAAACCCCGGGTATTCCTCTGTGTTAATGAGTTTTATTTTTTCCTCAGTACTTTTTTCTCAAGAGCTGCTAATTTCATCATGGAGTACTTAAGCAATGCTATCAAAATGTGCTTGACGAATAACTATTTATGTATCCCATTTTATTTTTATTTTTTTTAATACACGGGCTTCCATTGTCTTTTGTACAGTAACTACATATGGTAATTTTAGATTAGTAGCATTATTATCCCTAATTTTATACATGCAAATATTTTAACCATGATATTGTTGTGGATTCTCTTCTATTATAACCTTATGAGAGTTTTTTTTAGTGCAGATTGCCGAATATGTGTTTGGAATGCTACTGATGGTAGCTTGGTACATTCCTTGACTGGTCACAGTGCATCTGTAAGTCGTGTACAACTTTTAAACCATATTATGGTGTTAAAATTTATGAATCGTGCTTTTCAAATGTTTACCTGAAGCACAGAATACAAGTCCTGACTGGTACATGAGAGTGTGTGTGTGTGATACTATTAAAATATTTACATAAAGTCAAAATCTAGTGACTTTTTCTAGAATTCCATTGCTTAGTTTGCCATGCTATTTGGGTTCAACTTTTGAAATTCTTTGGTAAGTTCAATCTTGTCCTTTTTGCTAGTCATGCTATTTATGTTGTGTATGCTACTTCTTTGGTCTTGGCTGGCTAGTAGTCTGTCAGCTTATTCTCTGCTGTATTCTTGTTAGTTATGGTCCAAAAATCCAGTAACCATTTCATTTTACTTCAATTATTTAAAAGTATATGTTGTCTTAAATTAAATTACAGTAACCAACGGCCAGTGGCCTAGCGATATCAGACCCTTACTTCTCAAAGAGAGGTAAAGGGTTCAAGTCTCAGTAAAGGCATGTGTGTGTGAGTACTAATTATGAAAAAAAATTTACAGTACTTGTATAAAACCTCAACGGCAAACCCAATAAAGGTGAACTATATTGAAAAAAAAAAAAAAAAAGCCTCATTAATGTACTTATTCCCTATTGACATTTATGTGGGTTATCTTACAAATATTTTACTCATTTCAATCATGCTATTTCTTTGTCCAGAGATTCTTGAGCTAACCTCTTCACAGTTCTCAATTTTGCCACTTTTTAGATTTTTTGCAGCACCCTATTTGAAACACGTGAACTCTTTTAAATTTTGGCATTCCCTTCCCACTAACATTGCCCTCAATGTGAAAATGTCACTTCTTCATGACTAGTGTAGTTTTGCAATCAATTCCCTATATTTCGACCATGTAATTGTTGTCAGGGGCTTATTTGTTATTACTTATATAATGTTGGGGCTTATGTGTAATTTTTGAAACTTATTATAAATAGAATGTGGTGGAAAGATAGTTGTTAAAGGTTCAAGGCGCACAAAAGCGCAAATGACTCTTGGAGCCTGAGGCGCGCACCCGACTAAAGCAAGGCGCACGTTGAAAAAAAAAAAAAACAAAACCCACCCAATAAAGTATTAAAGATGCAATAGTATATATAAAAAATCAATCTAATTTTCTATAACTATAAGCACCATGATTCATTCTATTTTTCATTTTTGGGTAAGTGATTTAACAACTAAACATTCTTTCAATAATAGAACCTAATTATATTATATGAAAATAATATAACAGTTGCTATTTACAATTTGAGATTGTCTTCTATAATTTAGAGTACACTTGTGACTTAACTAATTATTTCATTTTAACATGTTAGAATGGAACAAATACCGGCATACAATTTGACTGCAATTGTGATTAAGAGAAGTAACTGCAGAATGTGCTGGCTCAAATTGGGAAATAGATGGGTGGAGATAGATCGGTTTGGTGCTAATTTTTATGGATTCAGTATTTCAGTGTTAAGTTTGATGTTAATTTGACTTCAATTTGGTGTTAACTGGACAACTTCTTCTCTCTATCTCTCTCTATTTGGTGTTTTGCAAATTTTGTATATATTAGAAGCTTTGTATTCCTTAACAAATTTTACAAGAATATCAATTAAATACCTTCTGATTTCAATAATTTTTTTTTTTTTTTTGGGTGACTAAGAAAAAGAATTACTTTCTGTCACATACAGCAATCCGGAAAAAAAAAAAAAAAAAAAAAATAGCAACTGTTATTTTTAGATTAAAATAAAATAGCAACATAATAAATCTGTCACAGTCCAGAGTCTCCAGACTCGAGAAAAAAAAAAAATAAAAAGAAGAAGAAAAAAAAAAAAAAATCTGCCAAACTCGACTTGGTCAAGAGAAGAAAAGAAGAAGAAGAAGAAGAGAAGGAGGAGGAGAGAAGAAGAAGAGAAGAAGAAGAGAGAAAAAAAACTTAGACAGATCTGAGAAGAGAAGGAGGAGAGAAGAAGAAGAGGAGGAGGAGGAAGAGGAGAGAAGAAGAAAATAAGAAGAAGAAGAGGAGGACGAGGAGAGAAGAAGAGAAAAAAAAACTGAGACAGATCCGAGAAGAGGAGGAGAGAAGAAGAAGAGAGAGAAGGAGAAGTTGGAGAACTTACCGGTAGAGTCGCCGACGCAGATCCGGCAAATCCAACGCAGATCCGAGAGGACCGAGACCGAGAGTCCAACTGTTGTCCAAGTCGTCGCTGCCTCTGTCTTCTTTGCTTTGGTTTTTGGTTCTTTTTTTTTTTGTTTTTTGTTTTAATGTTGTAACAATGTTTTATGTTATAACAATGTAACTTGTAGGTTTTTAACTAATAAAATAATATAATAGAAACAATAAAGTGAATAAACAAACAAAAGTTACAAAACCAATATAACAAAACAATTAAAAAACTACAACTTCAATCAGGCGCCCCTTTAGCGCGCCTGTAGCCTGGCACCTGTGTAGGAAAGGCGCACGCCTTCTTTAACCCATGCGCCTTAAGTCACTAAAGGCGATGAGATGGCGCCTGGAGGCGCCTTGCACCTCAGGCGCGCGCCTTCGGCGCCTTTAACAACTATGGGTGGAAGGATGAAAGAATTCTTTCATTCTTTCTCTCTTCCCCCATCTCTCTTTCTTTTTCTCTCATCCGCTTTCTTCTCTTTTTCTTTTTCTTCTTTATCACTTACTCTTGATTTGATTATATCTTAAAGTCAACATGGTATCAGAGCATGGTTTGTAAAGCTTTAGGTGTGTAGTTGAAATCCTAGGGCAAGTTTATGTAAATCCTAGTGGGTGTGAAGGGTTTTGAAGAGATTCCAAGATGTGATTTGTTTATAAGGAAGTGGTGTTAATCACATCCACACGTATTGCGGCAAGTTTTTTGGACCTGTTTTAATCTATTGCAATCTTGATTGGTGTTTTTTTTTTGTGTTCGCGGGGTTCTGCAACAGCGGCTTTTTCTTCGCCGTTCGCGATTCTCGTATGGTTTACTTTGTCAATTTCTAGGGTTTGTGTGGTGACTGTGTGGTCGCTTTTTTATGCATCTCAGGAGACGATAATCTTTTTAGTTGAACTTTGTGTGTTAGAGAGGTGGTTCTCTGCGTATTTTGTTGCTGTTTTTGTTTCCGAGGATTGTATACCTAGAAACTGTTTGATAAAATGTCTGGCTTAGAGGTGACTTCAAAAGAAGCTAGGTCTTCTCCTAGTCTGACTCCAGTATTGGGAGGTAGTAGTGATCACCATCCAAGCCTTTGTATTACGACTGTTAGGCTGGATGAGATGAACTATATGGAGTGGGCTTAATCTGCTCTTATGCATATCACTGGTTGTAGGATGATCGACCATATTGAAGGGACTGTCACGTATCCTTGCAAGAGCGATCCTGAATTCAAAGAGTGGAGTGCAAATAATGCACTAGTTATGACGTGGTTTTTGTAGTCAATGCAGCCATAGATCAACAAAAGGTTTCTGTTTGTTAAAACAGCTAAAGAGTTATGGACGGCTGTGGAAGAGACGTACTCCTCAGTTGGTAATTTTGCAAAACTGTATGAACTCCAACAACAGATTTCAAGATTCAAGCAAGAAAACCAAATTCTTGCTACATATTACCACACTTTATGTGGTAAATGGGAAGAGTTAGATCACCACCAAGATTACATACTAGTGTGTGCAGCTGATGTTAAAGCTTTTCATGCTATGGTAGAAAGGAATCGAATCTATAAGTTCTTGGGTGGTCTGCATCCAAGATATAAGCATGCCAGGGTACAAGTGTTAGGCAGGTATCTAGCCCCTACTTCTATTAGAGATGTGTTTTCGTATATCCAGGTTGAGGAGAGTAGAATGAAGGCTATGTTTGCACCTTTATACACTAAGCTTGAGCCAGAAGTACCATTGTCTGAGAGGTCTGCTCTTGCCACATAACAATGGAACAAGCCCAGTTCTCCAAAAGGAGGGAAACAGGATGATAAAAGCAAGTTGAGGTGTGATCACTGTGGGCGTTCGCGCCACACTAGGGAAACATGCTGGTATCTACACGGTCGCCCTACTCTAGCTCCTACTAATGTGAATGCTAGGCCAGGGCCTGGTCCATTTACGGGGTTATCTATGGCCTGTGTTACCTGGACTCGCCTGTTTAGGCCGAAGTGTCCGTGTTGACACGACACGACACGGACACCGACATTGGATCTGAGTCGGATCCTTCATGGCGTCTATCGGACACGGCTGATAGATGATGAAAACTCAAACAAAGATGTTTGGGTTGGTACTTGTGAAGGATTGCGAACTTTCTTCATGCTTTATTTGTTAAATAGGTTGCCATTAATGAGATCAGAAAACTTACTGGTACAACAATGGCGGTTTGCTTCAAAAGTAGCGTCTTTCGAAGGTTAAAGAAGACTGAAGTGTATGCGCTTCGTTTGCACAAAATTTTGGAACGGCCGAGCGTGTTTCACATTCTTACTAATGCTTTTAATACTCTTCAACGGTCACGATCATGCCACTTGTCAATTTGGATGTAAAAATATGGGAGACTTTGGTCTTTTAACAAGGATAATGTTTTACAGCTGTAAAACACTATCTAAGGCTATGAACAATTTACAACTGTATTGGACAGCTGTGTTATTTTATTTAAGTAATATATATCGGTCAATCTTGAGCAAATTTTTTGACCTTTATAGCTTTGACAGTTTGACTTTATAAATAAGGTAATATTATTATACAAGTTGTATTACCTTTTTTTTTTTTTTTTTCCAGTAAATCCATTCATTAAAAAAAGAAACTATACGAGGAAAGGCCTAGGCCAAAGGCAGCCCAAAAAAACAAAACAAAAACAGGCCCACACAGGAGCACATTGCAGTTGCATCCACAACTGTAAGAACAGGTACAAGTGCAACAGCAGAGCAAAAAAAGAAAACCTGCATCATAGAAAAATAGAGCTTGGAAGGCTCCATGTTGCTATCTTTACATTTATATATTTATTCAATTTTTCATTAAAAAACTGAGGTA